TGTGCACCAAATTCAGATGAACTTATGAAAAAACAGTTAAAAAACTACTTAAAACGCCAATCAAATTATGGTTTAGCAATCCTCAAAAGCACCCAGAAAGTAAAATGAGTTTCTTTTTTTAAAACGAATAATTTAAAGAACAAACACTTACCCAGAATTAAACATCTTAAAGCAAAATCAGAGTGACCGAAGTAGAAATTATTATTCAAAGGGAATTCAAATTCAATTAAATTGAATTTTTTTAATTAATTGAATGGGGCTGACCTGAGAGTAAAAGTGAAGAAATTGGAAGCGAACAGGACGCTGTTTAGTTGCGGTCATGACCACATCTTCACGCAAATATGGTTTATTTGCGCTCTCTTTTGATTATTTAAGTAAAGGGGAAAGACTACTGATTACTAATTAAGAATTCAAGATTAACTTTATTTTTAAAAAATTATAAGTACAACAGTGATTATAATTATAATAAAATGTACATAATATCATAAAATATAATCGAACTTGGTATGTAAGTAAATTATTATATTCTTTTCAAAATGAAATATGTGATAATATAGGTTTAAATTTTTTTAATACATAATTACTATATTCACCATTCATAAATAATGTATCTCTCATTTACACAATGACACAGTATACAATGAGGGATGTTATATGACACTTAAAAAGCTCATTATAAATCTAAAATAAAAATATTTTAAAAAAATTAAAATTATTATATTTTTATAAAAAAATATGAAAGTTGTTAAACATAAATTAATACACATTATTCATTTTTATACATTTAAATAAAAATTTTCATATAATCTTTAAAATTCCCAAAATAAATTTCTCTAGATTTAACATTACACAATAATTTTTTTTAGCTCTGTCGCTAGACTTATGAATAATATTAGTTTAAATATAAAAAGTAGTATATATGTTATAATTTTTAATACTTTCATATTATTATTATATTTAAGTGTTATTTAAGAAGTACGAACCAAATAATCTTAGTAATGAAAAAATTATTGTTATTTTTTAAAGTCCCGAATTTAAACAATATAAGTGTTAGAAGCATAGATATTTCATCTCAAATAATTGAAAGTTATCTTCAAACTTATATTATTTTATATTTGTCCGAAAAGGTTGTTTAAGGAAGGGGTTTCATTGCTTTTTTGCTTCGGACGAAATATTTGCCACGTGAGACCGGATTTCATTACAACCTTAGAATCTATGTGCCTGTGTGACCATTAAGCATAATTTTTTGACGATTTCAACCAAGCGATAAGTGGAGAAAATAGTTTATTAAAACACCATTATCTGGATTTGAATATATCATTTTATTATTCATATTAAAAATATATATTTTTTTAAATAGAATCATAAAATGTTTTCAAAACCAAATCACTATTTAACATAAAGTTTCAATTTTTTATATTTGGAAATAAATTTATTAAAAGTCCCAAAATAAACATTTTGGATCATCTTCCATATGTGTGACCTGAGCTGTAACTGTATGAAAAAATAACAAAGGGCCTTATCCTATCTTATCCTATCTTTAATTATTTTTAATTTCAAGATATAATAAATATTTTTGTTTGAAAGAAAAAATAAAAGGATAAGAAAAGATCTGCTATTGGATTTCGCGAAACCACCTTTGATTCAAAGATGTCATTTTCTGGGCTATTGTTTGGGCTGTCTTTGGTCAAACAGCCCTATCGTAGAAAGCATGGATCCGACAACAAAACATATGTGATGGTTGATTTTATATATCCGTAATCGAATAAATTAATTGAATAAATAATCAAGATAGAAATAATTAAATACTATTTTATGTGGGGAACACGTCATGACGTGCATGAAATTGCTTCCATTGCATCACCTTCATGAAACTGCAGAGGATGATAAAATGGGAAAGTAAAGTTCCATTTACTGCTACGGCATTGACATCTGAACCTCTTTTTTCTATTTATTTCATAGGAAGACTAAACAGAAGTAATTAAATATGCGATCAGGGTTTAGGATTTGAGGTTTGGGTTTTGGGTTTTGTGATTTGGGGATCCAGCTAATTTTGTACACACATACGTTGTCGTTTTATGTTGTTTGCTGGGTTCAATGAAAGGCCACTTCAACGGCTCCACCTGCAGTCATGTGAACGCATGTAACTCTGCTATCGATGAACTTTTTAAATGTGTTGGGGGACAGCTTCCCAAAGCAGAAAACCCCAATATATACCTTAAATATTTTGGTACTTCCCTAACCTAAGCTATGTGACCGTTATAAGCATATCTTTTAGCCCCACCTTCCGCTTGATCCTTGTTTTCAGAACAACCCTCAATTAACTAATCGTTCTCCGATGCTTACGTTAAGTCATGAAATGCAGAAGAAATATGACCCACAAACCCTAACCCTAACTTATCATTAATAATTAATAATGAAGTTTTAATGGGTTTTTCTCAACCGCAGTAAGATCAGATTGGGTGAGACACTGTAATTACGAGACAGCTAAAACATTTAAAGGGTAAGTTTCTGCAGATTAGGAATGTATGTGAGTTAAATAAAAAATAAAGTTATACAAACTAAGATGATGAAGTGTTCGGCCCTGCTTTATCTCTTTTTCCATGCACAATAATTTGTACGGGACTCAGATCTAAGACAAGACAAATGAGAGAGACCCTAGGTCCATGATATAAGTATTGTACTTTTCGACATGTATACATGTTCAGGTAACTATGCTACCTTGAAATTCGAATGATTTATACTAATGATATATTTTATTAGTGACTTCTATCTTGAAATCGTTTATTTTATAAAAAATATATATTATTAATGTATGTATATATTTTAAAAAATATTTTTAAATTCGTCGTTAATGTAAATGGTGCCAATGTAGCAAGCTGATTCGTTAACGCCCTTCATTGTCGAAGTTGGCAGTTGGCCCTCCACTCGGGGTTTACTTTCTCAAATTGTAGTAACTGTATTTACCTCACATCTCCACCACGTGGTCGATACCCTCGGCCTCAGCTCAGGTGCTAATTGCCAAGCCCACTAGTGCGCCGAAGCGGCCACCTATAATGGAAGTTTTGGACCTGCTCCGCCACTACCCGTTGTGGCTAGTCGGCTGGCGGTCGCTAGTGGCTGATTATTTTATTTCGGGTTTTCTTCTCAAGGTCATGCTCTTGTTTTGTTCATATATATTTGTTTTCCCACGACTCACGGACTGCACTTTGTAATTACTAGTACGTATTTATTAGACTCATTGTCATAGATAAAGCCATTTCGTACTTGAACTTATAAATATATTCAATCTTCATCTCATATAACTTTATTAATTTACGTCCTCATGATTCAGGTTAATGCCTTCACTCTCTTATCCATCCCCCTCATCTGGACGGCATTTAAATGACTCATGTGCCCCTTCAGGTTGCGTTTGGTTCACGGAATGTAAGATTATCAGTGAGAATAAAAGATTACTAGTGGGAGTAAAAGATTACCAGATAATAGGATTACTAAGAATGTTGTATTTTGTGTTTGGTTGGTTTAGCAGGAATGCAAGATTATCGTGTTTGGTTAAAGGAATAAAAGATTATTGGAATGTATATTTGACCAAATTGTTATTATTATATATTTGTTTTTTAACAAGTTGTAAATATTTATATATTTTCTTTAACAAATTTAAATTCATAAAATTTATATAATTTTTTACAAAATTGAAAATATAAAAAGGTTTAATGAAAGGGTAAAATTTTATTTTAACCCCTGAACTTCATATAAAATTTTAATTATAATTTTTTTTTGCAAATCTAAAATAGTTTAAGGATAAATTTATAATTTAATATTCGTAGAATTTTTATTATTCAATGACAAAATAATGATATTTTTGAATGAAAAAAAAATTAAGGGCATTTTAGTCCAAAACGTCGGTAATCCAACAATACTTATGGAAATGGAGGTAATGACATTTCCGGTAATATACCCTAAAAAATCTACTATTAGTAATATAAGATTACCGGGAATGACATTACCGGCCAACCAAACGAGGGAATGTGAATTTCATTCCCATGAAAATCTCACATTCTCACAACTAAACACATCCTCAATGTTTGAGGCCGAAAAAGAAAAGGAGTCAATAGAGAAATAATGATTGTACTCAGAACTATTCATTTTTGGACCAAATAATCTCATTGTGTAAAGGGGGAAAAGCTTTAAGCATGGACTTTAAATAATTCGACTTAATATATAGTTTTATTAAGTATTAAAATTTAAAATTCGGAGATAAAAATTAATTTGTTTAATATTTATATTTATAGAATCTAAATTATTATTGGAAAAATTTATTTGAAGGCACATATTATTCATCCTTTTTTTAGGTCCGTCACTTATTAAGTTAAATTATGTTATTAATCTCTATATTAGGTATAAGATAGAATTTTAATTTACGTATTTTAACTTGAATTAAACAAAAAAAAGTCAAAAATATTTTCAAAAAATATTAAAATTAAAATAACCAAATAAGAATAGTATGATTAAACCACAACATATATAGCACTGGTGCTAATAAAAATGATTTCACCTAGCGATCAATTGAAGTGACATGTAAAAAAAGGTTCGTCGTCGTTCAAAGGCACGAAAATTAAGGGGGCAGTTGATTGACACGTCAGGAGAAAGCATTTCCCACAGAGACTTACCAGCAAGCAGCAGCAATGGGAGGGTCCTATGCCTCTGCCACTTATAACTCAACAAACTTTGAACTTGCTACTTGTAATTACTACCTTAAAATTGTGCGGTGGGGTTGGTGTAATACTTTAAGTTAATTAAATATTTAGTTGAATTTAAATTTAACTTTAGATCAAGTTTAAATTATTTAATTTTATAATTATTTTTAGTTATTATAGATTCAAATATTCTTTTAATATAACAAAATATAAATTAAATAAGTCTAAATTTTACTCGATTTAACCGGATTATATTTTAAGTTTAATATTAGTATTATAATGGCGATTTTACCAAAAGGAAAGGTGAAGTTGCGTCCCAGTAACGAGAGCTGCCTCGTGTCCCCACAGCACTGCTCTTTATTTTACTTAAGTTGGCCCACCCTTTTAAAGGCCATAAAAGCGGGAGAATGGATATGCATGTAGATGCTGCACCGCTGCTGTTACAGCCAGAGGGGAATGGAAGAACATGAAGGCAAAATGTGATGATGTAAGTTCAGAGAAAAGATTGAGTTGAGTGAAAGGGGGTGGATTATTATTGAGCTTCAAACGAAGATTAAGTTTTTTCTTCTTAAAGATGAAGGGTATGGTGCAAGAGAAAAAACTTGAGAAGAAAAGAGGGAAACAAAAGGGATGCATGGGTGGTTTCTTTCAGATCTTTGATACTGGAAAACGCCTTCACACTATCAAGCGCCTCCCTTCAACGGCGGTCGGTTTCTTTCTTCTTCTTCGTCTTATTTTGCGTTTTAATGTGCATGGGAACATCAACTGAAATGTATTTCTGCGTTTTTTTCCTTTTTCAGTCTAGAGAAGAGACATTGGAGCACGAGAAGCACGTCGAGTCACCGGCAACGCCACAAGGCCGATCAGAACCACCACAGGATATTTCGAAGCAATCTCCGGAACCTTTCATTACGACAGGAAGCCAGAAAAAGTCACCTCGCCGCAGTCCAATTTTCGAATTCAACGAAAAGAACTCGACGTCTCCGTGGAAATTCTCCAAAGAAGCTCCAAGGCTCTCTCTCGATAGCAGAGCCGTGGTTGATGCAACCGGAAGCCTTAAGCCCCGAGAGATGCGTACGAATGCCGCCATTTCATCTCCGAACCAATGCGAAAGCAACAGAGAGGAAGACGGAGTAGATGGAATCGACAAACAACGACGTTCCCCCAGTGTACTGGCGAGGCTAATGGGACTTGAGGCGCCATTACCTGATTCGGATCCCGAACCGAATAAACAAGCGGAGCTCCGAAGATCGGCGTCGGAAGCAAGAGGCAGAGACCTATTTCAGTCTCGTTTCATAGATGGAGTCAATTTCCATTCAAAACAGAGCAAGCAATCGAATCTCCTGAACGGAGATATTTCCAGCAACGTGGTAACTAAAAATGGAGCTAAACAAGAGAAAGTAACGAGCAGCGGATCAGCAGGCTCAAGAAAAGCGAGAGCTGAACCGGTTAAAACTCCGGCTCGAGGAATGATTCAACGGAAAATTTTTTACGATTCAGTTGATTTCTTTCCTGAGACAAAACAGAGAGTTTCCATCTATGGTGAGATTGGGAAACGACTTAAACTCCGAGGAATTGACGAACCATCCAAAGATTTCGAGACCGTTAAGCAATTCCTCGAAGTTTTGCAACTGAAAGGCCTTCTACATTCTACGAAACCTGAAAACCAAAGTAGTGATGGGAACTTTGCGTATGAACATGAACAATCTCCGATTGTTGTTATTAAACCGGCCGCAATAAGGAGAACCGACAACGATTCGCCTCCTTCGAGTTACAGATCAAGACCTGGAGCTAGCTGGAACTCGAATCTCGGGTCGTCGCTGACAATGAGTCCGAGACGTGATCGACCAGAGAACGTAAGGAACTTACGGAACCAGAGCAGTGTAAGAGGTTCAATTTCGCCGACGAAGAGTGAGAATGGCGTCAAGAGACCAAGCGGAAAGCTTTTGAGCATTGAAGCGCAGAGAGGGAACGACAACGTGGAACAGAGAAGTGTATCACCGGTTCAGTTCGGTAGAGTAAATGAGAGGAGAACCAGATTAGATCAGACGACGAATAGATCACCGGGAAACAGGAAATCAACGGCTGATATTTATCCTAAAGAAGATAAGGTATTTATTCCACCGGAGGATGAAACATCAACAGCATCAATATGTAGCATTTGTTCATCTTCTCAAACTGATACTGAGGTAAATTTGTTTAATTACCAAGCTACACTAATTAATCAATTAATTATTTTCCTAATTAGCATGCTGGATTACAGAGATCGAAGGTGGAGCCCTACAAGGAAGGGAGAAGCCTCTTAGAAAGGTGTGATAAGTTGCTCCACAGCATAGCGGAGATGACCGCGGCTACAGCTGAGTCGCAACCGAGTCCGATTTCGGTGCTCGACTCATCTTTTTACAAAGATGAGTCGTCTCCCTCCCTTTTCATGCAACGTAGAATCGATTTCAAAGGTTTTGTTGAATCAGAAGATGAAGTTTGGAGCCCCGCCAGTGCCATGTCCTCCGTCGAATCAAAATCATCAGACATATCAGACGACTGTGATTTCATCTACATTTCGGATATCCTCAGAGCATCCAACCACTTGCCTGATGATGCTGATATCTTCTTGTTGCTTGAAAAGCAACAATATCTCAAAGGGAAAGACACCTCCAAAGTCTATAGACTCCAAAGAAAGCTTATATTCGACACCATCAAAGAAATTCTCAACCGAAAGGGACAACTACCGCCATGGAAGCTCAATTCATGGACTGGACATGGCACATCGTTGCAACAAATTTGGTCCGAGTTCCAAAAGATTCGAGATAGGGACTCATCGGATGACTTGTTCGAGATCATTTGTGGTGTGTTAAGAAAGGACCTTGCAGGGGATGCCGTTAACGGTTGGGAAGATTGCCCCATTGAGATGTCTGAAGCAGTCCTTTACATCGAACGGCTAATATTTAAAGATCTGATTGTCGAAACCATACGAGGTCTCCTCGATTTCGCTGGAAGAAGCACTAAAATCCCAGCAATTTGTAGAAAGCTAGTGTTCTGAATATGGCTATCAATTCCATTCCAGATTCCCAGTATCGGTCGGTGCAAAGCTTCTGTTTCGCTTCGATCGTTCAATTGTGTTCCAGTCTATTTCGATCAATAATGATACGTGCCAACAGGCAACAACTTTGGTCTGAAACTTGACCATTGCTGGTAATGATAAATCCAGGCTTTCAAGTTGTAGTTTTGTGGTTGTTGGTGATAACTTATCATATTAGGCTAGGGTCACTGTGTTGTCAAGGTGAGTCCATTGACCCAGATTTCATTCCAAAGGCCATCTAGAATTGAAGTGTGAGATGAACAAATAACAGCATATCGGCATTGTTCCAAATCTTCCGAGCTAACGCATGTACATCCAAATCAACAGAAGACGATATGTATGAATCCAAGAGCAATTCAAAGTAGAAACCACAATTTAGCACTCTAAAACTACATAAATGCAAACCAATCATCACTGTTTTATTGGTACGAATGTCTACTGCCTGCAACAGCAAAATGTCTTAATTTTGGATTACATTTAGTGCAAATTCACCACATTGTATACCCGTTGATTGCCTGAGTTCATCAACTCCGATGGGTGTACATTACCGAGCTTCATTTAGTGCAAAATGTCTTATGGTTTTAAAGAATTAATTGGTGGACTTCCACACTAATATTTTGATATTGTATATTTGGTATCTTTTATTTGTCACTTATTACACTGCGTTACATTTGTACATGTTATCTATGGATTGTTTTGAAAATGATTTAAAGAAATAATAATAATTATTGATTGAAAATCTTTAATGAGACTTGAATATGATACCTAAATTTATTTAAATTCTTGGACGAGGTTTAGAGAGTACATAAAGTAACACTCAGATCGTCTGAAAAGAATCTAACGTGTTACCCTAAAAAAAACCGATGCTCTTCCCCTTTCGAAAGCAAAGCAAAGAGAAGGGGAAAAAAATACAGATAGCTAAGAATCAATGACCAAAAATTCAAAAGAAAAGGAGATTGGGGGACCAAAGAGGAAAGAGACTGACATCTTTCATTAGCTTTATTTTCCTTTTTTGGCACTCATGAAATGGTTTCAATCAAACGAGAATAAAATCAAGAAAAGAAAAAGGTAAGCCCTCCAAAACTTTTGATCTCGTTGTGGTGGATAAAGGCAACAACGGTGTCGACCTCCCATTGTCTCGCCACTGATAAACATGGTCGATTGTAGAGTAAAATATCACATTTTAACGTGTATCAATTCATGATCCGCTATATATTTACAAAAAAATAAAATTAAAAATTATTACTCACAACTCTTTATATTTCACGAGATTATTATGTTATCGTTTGATAATGTTTTGGAAACTTTTTGAAGAAATACAAATTTTTTTATCGAGTGTGTGTTTATACATTTAATTCAAAGGAATATGAAACCCATATAAAGTAAGTACGAAATATTAAATAAAATATGACGAAAGTCCCTAGTTAGCTCCTAGGGTAAGACTAAGACCAATACGAAATATTAAATAAAAACTGACGAAAGTCCCTAGTTAGCTCCTAGGGTAAGACTAAGACCATAGTTGGTCTTTTGAAATAAAGTCTAACTACTTACCAAAACAATGATAAATGAACACATAAATGTTTGCTTTTGTGGGTTACCCATTCCTTTGTTCTACTTCACAGGGCACTCACTAGACTTTGATTTAGATTTCATTTTGGGACCATTTGACCATAGTTCAGTCAAAACGTTATGGGAGGCATATCAATAAGATTTAATTTTCCTATTTTTTTTTCTCCAGTTCTAAGATTTCGTTTGACTAATCTAAACTGACCTGAGTTGTACACTTGGTTTTAATTAGTGAGTCTCTCAGCAACAATTTTTTGTATACACGGGGATTTGAACCTAAGACTTTACTTAAGTAATATTAAGCTACTTAACAATTGAACTAATCCCGTTAATTCGTAAAAATTATAAATTAATAACAATATTAAACTATTGTCACTAAAGCAATTACATGTTTTTTTTTTACTTTTAAAAAATTATTCACGCTATCTTTATCGCATGAAAGTTAACAACAAAAATTCGCCTAGACACTTTAGCTACAATAGTCGACAACATTCTCAATTTGGACCCATTAACAATATTACCGATTAAAGAAAATAAATTATGATAAATTATAGAGATTAAATTATAATTTTTAATATGGTGAAGGGGTAATTTCATAATATTTCGATTAGAAATTTATATAATTGGGGAGACATCACTCCTCGGTGAGGCCCACAACGAGAGTGATGTGTATTGTGTGGGTCCATCGATCAAACACATGACCATCCTTTATTCTCCTTCGAGCCCACGCAATAAAATATCAATGGCCCATCAGATAATCAATTGCTCCAACTAATATTATTTTATTATAGGGGAAATAAAATAAAAGGTGTCAAGTTGTCCTTGAAAAGGAAATCATTCCTACTTCAAACTTACCTTTTTCGTGGAACTATATTTAAAAATAAAAAATTTAATTTAAATTAAATTAAGATTTTATATGATATAGTGTCATATATAATTATCAAAGTTTATCATATCTGTCGAATATGATTTTTTTAACATTTTAAATATGATTGTAAGATAATATTTATTTTCAATTTTAAATATAAATAAATTTATGTACGTTAATATATAAAGTTATGCAAATTTTAAAGAGAATATAATTTATTTTATTATTAGAGAGACTATAATTTATTTTATTGTTAGAGATAATATAATTTATTTTATTATTAGAGTCACTATTTGGATTCGAAAAATATATATTATTAAATATATATTATTCGACTGCAGTAAGGTGATTCATCGATCTTTATCAAATGATTGAGACTATTTAAAATATATATTATTTTATAATCATCTTATCTTAATAAAAAAATAATACTATATTTTTTAGTTACGAACATTTTCTGTGTGAATCATGTCTAGTTTCGTCCTAAATCCTATTTTATTTGCAAATATCCACTATATTTTATCAGTGACTACCTTTTTGTTTTAAGTTTTTTAAAAAATATATCAGAGATACCAAATCAGTGAGCTTTTTATCAAAAGAAAATCATAACTGTTGGATTAAATAATTAGTATTTTATTTGTTTACCATTAAAATAAAATCAAATTGATTGATGAGTATTTTATATTTAATATTCGTATAATTTTAATTGTTTAATATTTATATTTTTTTATCAGATGCTTAATTCTAGACTTTTTTGTAATGCCCTAATTTTCATAGGCAATTAATTTCACGAAATTCTAATAAAATGTTATCACCTAATTCACCGTGAATTAAAACTAATAATTGAATACGATTAATTATTATCCATGATCTTAATTAGTCAATACTAGTGATCGTTACTAAAAGAATAAATAGCATTAAGAATAAATATAGAGGTATAATTAAAGATTAAATTGAATAAAAATATAATTGGGCCAACATAGGGAAAGGCTAAGATAACATATTTTATAAATCAAATTCCTAATTTTAAATAAGAACACTTCAAAGTAATTATTTGAAGGTTATTCATTTTCCAATTTGATTCATTTTTCCTATCAAAATTTCTCTCAATTTCTTAATACCCAAACAACTAAAATTATGTCTGATTATAATTTTAATAAGTGATATCTCATTGTTAAGTATCAAATCTTATAATTAATACACCAACAAATACAATCTCAATCCAATAAATAGCCATCTATTAGTAATCCAACACGTGTCTATCTTAACCCTAAATCTGTTAAACTGGTTCTGCGGTGAGCCCCGAAATTTATAGTGTTTTCCCTATTTAGCCCCCCACAGTATTCCCGATTTACTTTAGCATCTCCGCCTTTTATCCCAAAAACACCAAAAAAAACCAACCGTCATTGAAGGGTGAACCGACCCCGCCTTTTCCAGTAAATTCCAGTTTTACCCTCTACTCCCACCTTTCCTACTCTAAAACACCATCTTACCCACACTTTTATTACTTTTTTAAAGTCTCGATTAATTTAGGTTAATTGCGGTTTGATTATTTAAAAAAAAAATATTTTCTTAAATATTTGTCAACAATAAATTTAAAATTTTAGTTATAATAATTTGATTAAAAAATTAATATGAAAAAAAATTAATTAAATAATATTATTTAAAATTTCACAAACACCACTTCTGAAATCACTCACATTCAAAACGAGCATTATCCATTTTAACTTAAAAAGGGACGAAATGACAAAATTGCCGTTCTGTGTGTTGTCAGAATTTGTACGGTGTGTCGTAAGACCATGGCAAAGATAGTTTACCGAACTTCCCCTAGGAAACCATCATGAATAAGTTTTGAAACCTCATTATCGCGAGGTAGGATTAAATTCCCGATTTGGTCTCTTAGTTATACGTATTTCTCTATTTTGTATATAATCATTTCTTCACTTTATTATACTATTGCCTCTAATTCTAATGCTTCGTCTTAACTAATTTGTACCGACACGGGTCACATACCTGATTTGGTGTATGAGTCTCCCAACATAGATTTTCTGCATACACAATGACTCAAACCTGAGACATTGTTTAAGCGATATCAAACTGCTTACCATTTTAATCAACCCGTTGGTATTTAAATTACTATTTTAATCTTATTTTATCGTAGAAATATTGACATCCAATAGAAGCATATCATATACTCTATTACATTTTTATTGACAACATACTAAATGATAGTGTGAAACATACTAGCCATTAATTTTGTTTCATTCTTCTTGAGTTTATCACTTCACTTTCAAAAATAATATTTTAGTAATTTATATTATTATAATAAAATGATCAATTTAAAATGATCAACAACAACTTGGTATCAAATTATACCTTCTAATTTTAGTTTATTTTGATTTTGTCCCCTTCATTCTCTATGATTAATTATAATTTATCTCCTTATTTTTATAATTAATTATATTTTATCCCTTTGAATTGGTATATTGACTTCGTCCCTAAAACCACCTAGTCATCGATGTCATTGTTGACTGCAGCCATAGTAGTAATTGATAGCAATTGTATAAAGGTTGTTTTTCCCCCTCTATGCAAACTATTGTCTTTTTACGCTCTTACATATGAAAAATGTAAAATTTCATTGTGTGTGTGTGTGGGGGGGGGGGGTGAGACATAGAAAGAAGACATTATTCATTTACACACACAGCGATCTAAACTAAAATGATTGCAAGCAAGCAAGGACTTCCAAAGCTTTCCAATATTTCAACACCTTACAACAAAAATTTCAACAAATAGGAATATGTATTATTAAAAAATTAATGTTATTATTTCTATTGTAGAATGAGGCAATCACTCACCTTGGTATCTTATTGCTAAAAATATGATAATATTGTTCTTCATTGAT